GCTTTCAATGCTCATCGCGGCTTGTGCCCTGCGCAGGGCAAGGCGGCCCGCCTGCGTCGGGCACTACGGCGGCCGATGAACGTAAGCTGATGGCCAAGGAGGCGATGGACGAGTACCTCAAGCAGCAGCAGGCCGAGCGCCTCGCCAGGGAGGAGAAGAAGGCCAAGGCCCAGGAGGCCCGGGAGAAGTGGGCTGCCCAGCAGCAGAGCAAGCAGGACTCAGCCAGCCCCAAGCCAAAGGTCTTGTCTTCGTCTTCAGCATCTTCTTCATCATCGCGATCAGCAGCAACGTCGTCGCTTTCGTCTTCGTCTTCGTCGCCATCGGCCACGTCAGCTGCGCAGCGCAGCGAAGCCGAGAAGGCCAAGCGAAGGCGAGACGAAGAGCAGCAGAACGAAGAGAGGGAGAGGGAGGAGCAGGAGCAGGCAGGTCTCACCGACGAACAGAAGCAGGCCAGGCGCGTGCACCTCATCATCGCCAGAATACTGGGCGCCAGCCTCAACGCAAGCACAGACGCACGGCCCATCAAGAAGGTATCCCATGGTGTGTGTGTGTGTGTGTCGTTGTGTGTGTGTCGTGTTCAGACCTCATCTGTTTTGGATTCCTCATCGGTAGTTGCACGGTTCGGGAGCTGGAAAGGCGACGCAGACGTTCCGTCTGCCGAAGCTCGCAGCTGAGATCCAAGCCGAGGGCCAGGAGCTGCTCCTCACCACCTACCACATCGGTACGGCACCGATTCATGACTGCAGAACTTATCCGGAATGGTGGTGGTGGTGTGGGGAGCCAACCTGGTCGCTGACACGCGCGTGCAGACTCTGCGCTCGGCGAGGTGCTGGAGCAGCTGACGCCGGACCAGGCCATGAAGTATTTGCTCGACGCATACACGCGGGGCAGAAATGAGCTGCGCTCGGTACTTAGCCCTCCCCACTTCCGCAACCGGTTGCAGCGGCTGATCATCGCTCCCACGCCTCGCCAGCCGAACGCGTTGGTCGAGACGATCGACGACACGATCAGGTGTGTGGTGACCCACGCGGGCCTCATGCTTCAGAACACTCCTCTGTGGCGAATGCCACGCTTCCCCAACGGTGTCATATTCCCTTTCCTTTCAATTAATTGCGTGTCCTATTATTCTATACTTGGTAATTATAATTTTTTATGTATATATTTATATATTTATTATTGATTTGTATTCTTTTGTTCCTCGTGGCAGAGCCTCTGGCGTTGCTGCTGCTTCCCTATCTCGAGGCCGCGCCCAATGACGACCGCGAGCTGCCCAGCGGCTTTTTGCAGCAGCTGGCCCAGCAATTTGAAGACGAAGGCCTCGCTGTGGTGCGCTTCCCTGGCCCTGGCCCTCGCCTCGATCTTCCCTTTCTCTCTCTCTCTCTCTCGGCCGAGAAGAAAACAAACTCATGGCCTACCTCTCGCGCCCACAGATCCTCGATCCGATTCTGTCCCACCTGCGCGAGGCGGTGGCGAAGAAGACGCTGCTGGACCCGTTCCTCCAGCACCTCCGCGCCCTCGCGCTCCTCACCAAGGCGGGCCCATCGCCAAAGTGGTACACGAACCTTCCCCCGCGCCTTGCGATCGCCTCTGGCGGGCTTTGTGAAATGAGACTCACAACGTCGTCGTCGTCGTCGTAATCAACAGATTACGCGTTTGCCCAACTGGGAGCCTCTGCTGATGGTGGCCAACGGGCGGGACATCGAGGAGCGCTCCTACCTGGGACCCTTCTTCCACTTCACGTGCTTCCCCGAAAACGTACCGCATCCCTGCGCCTTGCATTCTACGCACGCACGCACACGGCACGCCAAACTGTCGCGCTCACGTCGTTTCTGCCGCTGTTGCCGTTCCTCCAGCCGGCCGTGGGGGTTTCCTACTTCTCCAACGCCACAGAGCGATCCCGGGAGGACGTGAACGGATCCAACCTCATCATTCGCTCTCATCTCAACCCTATGCAGGTGCGCCTCCTGTTCTGGTGTGTGTGTGGTGTGTGTCGTGTGTGTCGTGTGTGTCGTGCGGGTGTCATCACCAGCGCTCACGAGTATTTGCACCTGTCCGTGCGGCTGTGGTGTGTGTGCAGTCCTATTTGCACGATATTGTGATGAACCTCATCAAGTGCGGCGAGACGCGCGACACGGTCCTCCGCTGGCTGGCCAAGACTCTGATGGCCAACCGTGGCCGAGGCAAGATCCACGTACGCGCAGATCACGCTGACCACCAATCCGAACCTAAAGTGGTTGTCTTATCTCCACTCCCGCGTGTTCAGAACGACCGCTTCTCCGTTTCAACGGACGGCTTCATGCTCAACCTGAGCAGCGTGCTGCTTCAGTCCTGTCAGCCCTTCACCGATGGCATCAAGGACGAAAAGGTTTGTTTGTTTGTTTTGTTTGTTTTTTCCAATGCTATTTTCACTGTTTCCCCTATTTTACTTCATTTTTATTTTTGTCATTCAATATTTTTTATTGATATAGTATTTATTTTTTTGTAAATTAATCCTAATTTATTTATTGTTCTGTTCTTCATCAGATCAAGCGTATCGACGGGTCGTACTACCAGTTCACGCAGCGGCTCGACACCTCGCAGGAGACGAAGCTCTCCGCCTCGCTCGAGGCGGTCAACGCGTGGGTCAACGCCCGGCGGTCGCAGGCAGAGGTCGAGCAGGGCTTGCCCCCGCTCGTCGAGGACGGCGAGCCGGCCGACCAAGGAGGCGAGGGCAAGGGCAAGGGCAAGGAGAAGGAAAGGCCCGCCAAGAAAGGTTTGTCCAACAATCTCCACAGTGTGTCGTGTGCTGCGTGTGTTTTATGATCGCTTTCCTGTTCAACTGACGGTCAACGCGACAGAGCTGGGGTCGTTTGACTTCGTGACCGAGGCTTTCTTCTTGACTCACTACTGCCTCCACGTGGGACTGGTACCCATTTCCTCTAATTTTTTCTATAAATATTTATTTTACAAAACAATATTGACTTCAGTAATAATAATTGTCATTTTATATCTCGATTTTTTTTTACACGTGGTTACATGCTCACGTGTGGCGAGTCGTTTGTAGATGCCGTGCTGCGCCCTGCGCACGACCTACGCCGAATCCCTGTCCCGTGTGTACAAGCAGGTCACGGACATGGAGCACACCATGCCCCAGTGGCAACAGGTACGCGGAGCTCAGCCTCGGCGATCACTTCTCCACACTCACGCTCGCCGTTCTCAGTCGCCCCAGGCGGCCGCAATGCAGGCGAACCTGGCCAGGATGAAGCAGCGGCGCGAGGGCATGCACAGGTAGGAGCACACGCACACCACCACCACCACCACCACCACCACCACCACCACCACCACCACCACCACACACACACACACAGACATACACACCACGATAGACCGCACGCGCACGGCGCACATGTTGATCTGTGTGTATGCGCAAACATAGAGCACTACTGGCGATAGACGCGCAACTGCTGGATCCGAGGCTGATCCAGGCTGCCCTCAACTTCTACGCCTTCTCTGCCAAATGGCTCTGTCACCTCGTTGACCCAGAGAACAAGGGGTGCGTGCCTGAGTGCCTTGCTGCGCCGTTTGGCCGTGCGTGTCGTGCGTCTCGTCCGCGCTGCGTGCATTTGGCTCACCGGGTCGCTGTCGGTGCAGTCTCCCGCTGGCGCCTCCGGAGATGGAGTTCGGCGCTCTGCCCGAGTTCCTGGTGGACGACATGATCACCTTTGTCCTGTTCGTGCTCCAATCAAGCCCCGACGCCATCTCCTCGTCCATCGCGGTCACCTCGTTCGTCGACTTCCTCGTCCTCTTCCTGGGCAGCAGCCAGCACATCAAGGTGCCTTTTCCTTTTCCTTTTCCTTTTCTCATATGCAATCTTTTATTTTTTTTCTTTTGCGTGCTGTGGCTCACACTCGTCTTTCTTCGTCGAAGAATCCCCACATGCGCTCGAAGCTGGTCGAGGTGCTCTACGAATTCTCGCCCGACGCCGACAGGGACCAGATGCGTTCCTTCCGAGGGTATGCGCGTGCTGTGTGCCCCGTGTGCGCCGTGTGTCGTGCGCCGTGTGCGCGCCGTGGCTAAGGATGCCGCGCTCATGCGTCGTCAATGTAGGGTCCGGCTTCCGTTCGTGTTCCAACAAATTGACTCGAATCCGACGGCCATCAAGTACCTCACACCGGCGCTCATCAAACTCTACGTAGACATCGAGACCACCGGCCGTACGCGCCTCCCGCACGCACACACCGTCAGCGCCAGCGCACGCACTGGCTCAATTGCTCATTTTTGGCTGACGGTTTGGGAGGGTAAAGGGCACGCGCAGTTCTATGACAAGTTCTTCGTGAGGCGGCATATCGCCCTCTTGCTCAAGTACCTGCGCGGTCTTCCTCAGTACGAGGGCGCCATGAACGCCGCTTCACAGTACGCACCGTGTTTTCTCGTTCGTCGTGTCGTTGGTCGTGTCGTGTCGTGTCGTGAAGTGCGCGTGCTGTACGGTGGGTAATTGGTCGGGTGCAGGAATACGGAGCTATTCTTGCAGTTCGTGAACATGCTGATCAACGACGCCACATACCTGCTTGACGAGGTACTGCACAAGCTGGAGGAGATCCACACCATCGAGGTCGAGATGCAAGACCGCCAGACGTGGGAGGCCCAGCCCGAGGTACGCGCCCAACGCCAGACAGGCAGACCACTCGACACGCCCAACGACACACGCCGCACGCATGTGTGCATTCTGCGCATTCCAGACTCAAGTTGCGTCGACTCTTCAATTGCGCACCACCGCAGGAGGCGAGGGCCGAACGCGAGCAGACGTTGGCCCAAAACGAGCGGCAAACCTCCACGCTCGGCATACTCAGCAACGAGACCGTCCTCCTGCTACTGTACATCTTTCAGCCCCCTCACAGCCCCGTTTCGTTGGTTCTTCATTCTTCGTTTCTCTCTTTCTCTCTTTCTCTCTCCCTCTCTCTTTGCTGACGTCGGCGCTCCGCTCAGGTACCTGAGCGAGAAGGCGCCGGAGACGTTCCTGCGGCCGGAGATGATCGACCGCATCGCGGTGATGCTCAACTACTACGTCATCGAGCTGGCCAGCACCAAGTGCCAGGAGATCCAGGTAAAGGCCTCCGTGTCTTGCCCGCGACTCGTCGACGAGACACTCGCTAACCCCAAACTTGACATGTCTTCGCTCTTCGCTCTTTTTGCTCGTCTTCGCTTGCGCGGGGGGGGTGGCAGGTGTGGGATCCGGCCAAGTACAACTTCACGCCCAAGGAGTGGCTCAAGCGGATCGTGGAGATCTACCTCAACTTCGGCCAGCACAAGGCCTTCAAGGAGGCCGTGCAGCGCGACGGCCGCTCCTTCAAGCCCGAGGCCTTCCGACGGATCGTCGCACTGCTCAAGGACCAGATGATCCTCTCCCTCGTACGACCGACCCTTCGATATTTATAAGTTTCTCTTTTTATTTGTGATTGTGAATTGATTTTGATTTTGATTATTTCTGGTATTCACTTTCTTGCTTTCTTTCTTTCTTTCTTTTCGGGTGCGCGTGCAGCCGGACATCGAGCGCTTCGGCGTGTTCGTCGAGGAGGCGGCTGCTTACCTCGACCAGGAGCAGAAGATGCAGGAGGAGATGGGCGAGATCCCCGACGAGTTCCTCGGTACTTTCTTCAGCCTGGTGTGTGCGTGTGCGTGTGCGGTCCTGTTCGCTAACCCGTGTGTGTCCGGTTAACGCGTCAGATCCGATCACGTTCGAGCTCATGGAGGACCCGGTCATCTTGCCCTCGTCGAACAACACCATGGACCGCTCGGCCATCACGCGCCACCTCCTCAGCGACCCCACCGACCCCTTCAATCGCGCCCGCCTCACCATCGACATGCTGCAGCCCAGTACGCCCTTCTTCTTTTTCTTCTTCTGCCCCGCTCTCGAGGGCACTGTGGGACTCACTCTGCATGACACCCTCTAACAACTGTGGCCACAGACACTGAGCTCAAGGCGCGGATCGAAGAGTGGAAGCAGAGCAAGAGGAGTCAATGAATGAAAGAGCGAATGCGTGTTGTGTGCCTTTGTGGCGCAGACGGAACTGTTTCAACGGTGGGATTGGACGCGCCAATGAAATAAGGGAGAAATGCAATTCATAACTGTCTGTGTCGTGGATACGAACGCCATCAACGGGAACCAACCAATACACGAAGGGGGGCGCAAGAACGAAGCGCGAAGAAACAACACAGCAGCACGGAGAAGAGAACGAAGAACGAAAGAGAAGAACGAAGCGAAGGAAGAGGGGGAGGGAGAACGAAGAAAAAGAACGAACGATAAAGGAGTAGCGAGATGTCGTCGGTGGTGAAACGGGCCACGCGCTCGCTCTCCTTCCGGGCCATGCGCAACAAGAACGAAAACAAACTCGATCGCTCGACCTCAATCTCGGCGTCAGACAGCGACAACGAGGACACCACGACCACCGCCAATAGCAACTCATCATCCCCATCTTCTCCCATTCCATCTCCATCTTCATCTTCTTCAAAGACGAGCAAGCACAAGAAGACGAAATCGAAATCCAAAATCAAATCGCCACGCTCGCCGCCTTCTCCATCTTCGGCGTCAGGCGCGCCCGCGACATCGTGTACGACTATCCCCTCGCCCCGTTCGGCCACGTCGGCGCGACAAAGCGTCACAATGATGATGATGGTACCCTCGCCTGCATCCTCGCCCGGCTGCCTCTCATCCTCTTCATCGACCGAGATCGTAGCCGTCAACAATTCGGCGGGAACCCGCAGCCGCGAGCATCTTCAGGAGGAGAGCCGCGGGCGCATCAACTCCATCGCCCTCTCGCCTCGTCGGGCGGCGCTCGACGTTGATGCGGACGACACCGGCTCCACCACGATCATCAAATCAAAGAGCGCAGAAAGCGAAGCCGTGGCGGAAGAACGAAAGCGACGAGAAAGCGAATGCGAAAGCGGGGAGGCCGTTTCCCGCAAGAAGGGGAGGGGGCGGGCCAACTCCACCCCCGCCCCGCGGCCCAGCATCGTGCCGGGCCTCACCGGCCTCCACGCCCTCGCCCACAACGCACCGTCACCGTCGCCGTCGCCGCCGTCAACGTCCACGTCACCGTCGCCGCGCTCGCCCAAGGTGCTGGGCTCGTCCAAGTCGTCGTCGGCGGCCGCGTCGCAGGGCCGCAAGAGCGGCGGCAGCGGCGGCAAGCTCAAGCAATCGAAGAGCGCGCGGGTGCCCAAGTCGGCGCGGGGCGAGGGCTGGAGCTTCACCTCGGCCCGCGCCACAGGCATCGCCTCGTCGTCGCCGGCGTCGTCTTCGCTCTCCTCGACGCCGTCGGCTTCGTCTTCGCTTTCTTCGTCGTCTTCGCGTCTCGGGTCATCGTCGTCGCGTCGCGCTGCCAGCGAGTCGTCGTCGCCGGTGGTCGAGGTGGTCTTTGCCAAGAGCGACGCGACGGCCTGGGTGCGCAAGCACCACATCACCGCCGAGGAGGCCCGCGACCACAACACGCTCGTGGCCCTCATGCCGTCGTCGATGCGACGCAACATTCCGATGGGCGACGTGCTGGGCGCGGGCGATCAGTGGACCATAGACGGGACCGATGTCGAGGCGGCCGACGAAAGCAGCGCCGCCGCCGCTTCCAAGGAGAACGAAAGCGAAGACAAAGCAAAGAGTGAAAGTGAGGACGGAGAAAGAATGAAGGCGTATGGAAGCGGCGAGGTGCACGTGTTCAAGCGGCCGGCGGTGGCCGGGCTCGCGATCCCGTCGGCGCGCGAGCAGCCAGCCTCCGCGCTGCGAACCTATCGGGACGAGAAGGAAAAGGAAAAGGAAAAGGCGGGCGGGAGCACCATCATACGCCGCGGCATGGCCGCCATGGCCAGCCCGAGGACCTGGCTCGGCAAGAAAGACGACAAAGATGGTATTCGTTCTTTCTCTCTCTTTCGCTTTCGCTTTCGTTCTTGTGATCGTGGTGGTTTTTGACTCCGAGCTGTGTGCGTGTGTGTCGTGCGCAGGAATGCTAGCGGGGAGCCCACCGAGCGGGTCGCCGGAGTCGCACTCGCCCAAGAACGGAGAGCGACGCAAGGGGTGGTGGGACAAGAAAGAAAAAGAAAAAGACAAGGAAAACGAGAAGGGCCTCGAAGACTGCAAGAAGGAGGGCAAGTGGCGAAGCCGGAGCAAGCGCCTGATGCGGAAGAAGCCCGACGCCGACGCCGTGGAGCCATCGGGCGACAAGATCGCCGCCGCCCCGCGCACCGGCCTCGCCGACGGCGGCGACGACGATGAAGGACACAACAAGTCAACGGCAACGACAACGGCGGGCGATGAGTCGTCATCGGCACAGCCGGTGGAGGACGAGGAGCAGCCCTCCGAAGGCGAAGACGAAGAAGACATCCGAGGCGAAGACGATGACGCCGTCGCCGTCATTCATGGTGTCGACAGCGCCACCGCGGCGCCGGCGGCGGCAGCCACCAGGAGCAGCGACCAGCTCGACCAGGCCGTGGGCGGCGAGCCCAACAACGCCGCGGCGCCGGCGCCGGAGGCTGCGGCCGCGAAGAAGAAGCCGGCGGCGGGCCAGGAGCGGCGGCCGAGCGTGGTGGCCACCAAGACGGTGAAGATGGCGATGGAGGAGGAACTGCTGTCGCGCGTGAAGGAGAGAGCTCCCGACAGCGGCTCGGCCTCGGCCCTCGGTAATGGCACAAGTGGCGGCGGTGCCGACGATGACGACGAGGAGGAAGACGAGCTGTTCTTCTCCGAGGCTAACGAGGCCGTGGTCATCCAGCTTCCCCAGAAGGCTGAGTGATGATGTGCTGAGCTGGTGTGTAGCCATCTTCTTCATCTTCTTTATCTTCTCTTTGTATGAACTTCATTCACTCCACAATGGTGGTTGGTCGTTCCGCCTTTCTCGTTTCATTTCCCGGTTCTTTTCTATTGGTTTCTTTTTGGTTCGGTTTTGCCGAGCAGTACGACAACGACCGAATCTCCAATCGAGCTTGCTGAGATTTGAGGCAATCTCCTCCACCCATTCTGAATCCACCACTCGAGTGGTTCTACATCACTCCATCTCCACGGCCTCGCCTTGCATTTCGAGTTATTTTTCGTTCTGGGGCCTCGATTTTTTGTGGAGCGACAAGACACCACCCACGATTAGCCTGATCTGAGCGAGCAAGATCAACATGAGCGACAGCGGCGGAGCAGGGGGCAGCGTGTTCCCTTCCAACTGGTCGTCCCTGCTCTCGTTCATTACGTCCTCGAGAAGGAACGCCAATCACAACGCGAATCACAACACCAATCACAAGAAGAAGATCTCCACGACCAAATCACAATCGGCTGTGGATCAAGCGCCTCTGCCCAGCCTCTACAACAGTGAAGCGTACCGCTCCCTCCATCAGCGCCATCTTATTTGCCAATTTTGTGCCCCCCCCCCGATTTTTGGCTCTACTCGCCTGCCATGGCGGGACATTGCCATTAATGCTTGTGTTGTCCACGGTGCAGGGACAAGGACAAGCTCATTTTGTTGGGGAATGGAATGAGCCAGCCCTCACGAGCGGTTATGTGGTTCCTGGAGGTGAATCGCATCCCTTACGAGTTTCGATTGGTGCGCATCATGAAGGGCCAGCACCTCTCCGACCAGTACGCCACCATGTACGTTAACCATCTCTTCCATCTGTCTCTCTTGCTGCATCGCTCATCGTCCCATGTCTGCACGTGACGTTCTACACAGCAACCCCATGCGCAAGGTGCCGGTTATCATCGATCACGGCGATGTCGTCTTCGAGAGGTACGACCACACGGTGACCTCGCCGTCTCTTGTTGTTGTTGTTGTTGTTGTTGTTGTTGTATGATGACCAACACGGCTGTTGCTGTTTCTGTTGCTGTTGTTGTCGCGTTGTGATGATGTGTTGGTGTTAACAACTGGTGGTGGCTACATAGTCACACGATCCTGCGCTACCTCTCCCAAAAGTACAACACGCCCGACCACTGGTACCCTCGATCCGACCTCCTCAAACGGACCCGAATCGACTCCTACCTCGACTGGTAACCCTCTCTCTCCACTCGTTGCCCTGCAACAATGATTTCTTGTCGACTGGTCTGATCACGCTCTTGCTTGTGATTGGCTTGAACTTTTTGTTCTTCGTGCAGGCACCACCTGGGCTTCCGGAAGGCGGTGGTGGCCTACATTTTTGCCAAGTCCCTGGGTCGACCCTACGACGCCAAGGCCGTCGCCCGAACGGCGAAGGAGGTACTTTCTTTTTACACTGTGTGGCGTGTGTGCGTTGGCGTGTGTGTCGTGTGTCGTGTCGTGCGCGTATCGTGTGCGTCGTATGTCGTTACTAAGCGGGGTTGTGCGCAGGTTCAAAAAGCGATGGACATCCTCAACGACGTGTGGCTGATGAACGGCAAGAAGTACCTCATGGGCGAGGAGGTCTCCATAGCCGATCTCTCCTGCGTGTGCGAACTCATGCAGGTTCGTCATGTGCGTGTGGCGTGCGTGTGTCGTGCGTGTGTCGTGCGTGTGTCGTGCTGACACGGCGTGAACACATAGTTGCGCATGGTGGACTCGGACTTGGGCAACCGACCGCAGCTGCAGGCCTACGTGGAGCGAATGGCGGCGTGGCCGGGCTTTGAGAAGGTGCACAAGCTCTTCTTCCAGTTCGTGAAGATGAAGAAGCTCGACGACTACTACTATCAACACCACGATCACGACGACATTAAAAAAGCCAAACTATAACACTTTAACTCCTATTATCCGCACGCACACACACACGGACGGTCGCACACGCACACGCACACGCACGATCTGAGCTCAGTGCGTGGGCTTCCACGTGGGCTTTCTCTTCTCTACGAAGGCGCTCATGCCCTCGTAGGCGTCTTCGGCCACAGCGTTCGCGCACATCACGCCCTCGGCGAACTTGTACGCCTGTCACCGCACACAACAACCGCGCACGACACGACACACACGGCACACGCACAACATGACATGCACGACACGCACGCTCGTTGGGGGGTCGCAAGAGATAAGAGCGCGGCTGCGGCTGCGGCTGCGGCTGCGGCTGCGGTACCTGGCTGATGTCGGGTTGGGCCATCTGCTGGTAGAAGGCCTTCTTGCCCAGGCCGATCACCGACGGCGAATAGGACACGATCTTCTTCGCCAGCTCGAGTGTCGCCTCTTCGATCTGCGCCTTGGGCACCACCCTGCGCGTGCCAGCGATCAACGATCAGCGATCAGCGACCAACGACACGACACGCATGCCACACGCACACAACACGACACGACACGACAGGATGGCACGACACGCAACACGCAGCACGGTACTTGTTCACGAGCCCATAGGTGTGGGCCTCCTGGGCGGTGATGGGCTCGCCCGTGAGGAGCATCTCCATCATCTTCTTCTCCGAGTTGATCGCGCGACCGAGCGCCACCGCCGGCGTCGTGCAGAACAGCCCTATCTTCACACCTGCACACGCACGGCACACGTTAAAGTTCATCACCGCACACACTCACCCACTGCACACGCACGCGCGTGCGTACCGGGCGTGGCAAAGTGCGAGTCTTCGGAGGCGACGACCAGGTCGCAGCTGGCGACGAGCTGGGCGCCGGCAGCCGTGGCCAGGCCGTCGACCTGGGCGATGACCGGTACGCGCAGCCCGCGCACGGCCTGCATGACCTCCGAGCACAGCGCGAAGCAGCGCGCAAAGTAGGCCGGGTCGCGCTCAGAGCCGCGCATTTCTTTGACGTTGTGGCCCGCGCTGAAGACCGGACCCTGGGCGCGCAGGACCACTACACGGACGTCGCCGAAGCTGCGGTGCGACTCGACGTCGGCCAGCGTGGCCTTGAGCTCCTCGAGGGCCTCGACCGACAGCGCGTTCCTCTCCCTCGCGCTACGCGGGAAGGAATTGAATAAATAAATCTAATATTTTTTAAAGGGGAAATAAAAATAAATAAATAAAGGATATTATTTATATTATTTAAAAATATAGGGCGAGGGGGACTACTTGGTGAGGGTGAGGAAGGCGACGCCCTGGTGGCTGGTCGACTTCTCGAGGGACACGCGCGAGGTGGTGGCGGTAGCGGTTGTGGCGAGCGCTGATCGCCGCCATTGGTTATGGCCGCCACTGCCCCAGCAAGGGGTGACCGCCACAGTCGCCGCACGCCCTGCCGTCGCCCGGCCACCAGCGCCCATCAACCTCGTCGCCTTCATCTTTGATCTTGTTTGCAGCTGTTTTGTATGTTTATTTCTATTTCTCTTTTCTTTTTCTTTTTTTCTTTTTGAAAATCAATGTTCTGTTTTTGATTAATACCAGCTGAAGCTGTATTGATGTGGTGGCCACCAGAGCGGGGCTGAAGCTGAAGCTGTATTGATGTGGTGCATCCTAAGATCACTCCACCCGTCCTTTTCTTGGGTACGGTTCCCACTGGTAGGTGCCGAAGAGCATGTCGAAGATGGGGACGTGGCTGCCGTAGTTCTTGGTGACCAGGTAGTGGTGGTTGATGTGGTAGCGCGACAGGTGGAAGCCCTCCCAGTGCGCCAGGACCGCCAGGACCATGTAGACCAGCGCGATCGCCTTGCCGACGTAGAAGTTGGAGGGAAAGAGGAGGTAGCCCAGGAAGGAGGACGACATGGTGACCCACACCTCGACCACGTGATCGAAGGCGAAGTTGGTGATGCCCAGCATGTGCTCCGGCTTCTTCCACTGGTGGTGGAAGTAGTGGCCGTACTTCCAGAACGGCTTGACGTCGTGCATGAGCCTGTGCTGGACGTACCAGGCCCACTCGAAGCACAGCATCCACAGCAGCACGTCGCGTAGGACCAGCGCCGGCTCCGTGTTGCCCATCGTCACCTTGGTCCAGCCGTCTTGTGTCGCTATGTCGCAGACCACCTGGACCAGGGGCAGGAGGAAGAAGTTGGTCTCGATTGCGCGCGCCTGCGCGAAGAACGTGGGGCCGATGGGGGTGTCCTTCTTGTTGATGTAGAGGAAGCCCAGGAATAGGGACCAGGTCAGCCCGTGTAGGGCGGCCACGGTGATGAAGTACCAGCCCACCCACTTGGCCGCCGACGACCAGCCCAGACCCAGCGGATCGTAGACCGCCGACATGAGCCGCAGGTCCTCCTCGGTCGAGTAGGCCGGGAAGCTGACGCAGCCCGCGGCGACCATAAGCGCCAGGAAGACGGCCATGACCGCGTAGTCGGATCGGCGCCGCACAAAGTTACGCTGGCCGTCCATTAGATCCTCGTCTCTCTCACCAACGAGGCTGTGCTGTGCGCTACACGACTGCAGGCGGGCTTTCGCTTCTTCCAACCAACAAGTCCTTATTTGGGGTTGTTGGCATAGAAGCCGTTGTTCACTTCATGCCCGGGTTGGGAGCTTTGGCGGTTCTCACGAGTTACAATGAAACGGGACAACAACGCGGGACGAGCGTGCTGTGGCGCGGGAAGGGCTACTTGGCGAGTTAAGGAGTTGGGTCAGCGTTCCAAGTCGCGGATCGACCTGCTGGTGAATCTCAAGGTGTGGCGCGAGGCACAGGGTATCGTCAGCCGCACGGGTGGCAGTCAGGATGAGCGGAATGCCACTCTACTTTGCGCGCGCAACGCACTACCGCACACGCTCCGCGACGTCATAGGACTTTTCAGGGGGTGGTGAAGACAGAGCGGTTCCTCTCGAAGCGCGAGGTGCTGGCTACCAAGTACAAGGCCGACGTCACCCGACAAAATCTCTATTTCGGCGGCGGGTGAAGAAATAAATAAATTCATTATTGTAGAAGAAAGGAAATAGAGATTTTTTTCGTTTTTTATTATTTCGGCAAGGAGCATGCAGAACGGTGGTGGTGTCGAGGAGTGGTGCGGATGGGTGGCGGCGTGGGTTGAGTCGGAGGCCTTTGCGCGGGCCGGACGCTACGTAATGGCCTTCGTGGGGCTCTACGTTCTGTTCTTCTACGTCATCGGTCCGACCCTGCGCCGCCGCCTCTGGCGTCCCTCCCGCGCTCGCCTCGCCGGCAAGGTCGCCATCGTCACTGGCGCCTCCCGCGGTTCCCTCCCCCCCCCTTCCATCTTTACCTTCCATTTACTATCGCCAATTCCATTTCAAAAAAAACCAATTTTTAAAATAATATAAATTATAAATTATAATATTTATAAGCGTAGGAGTGGGCAAGGGCATTGCGCTCGGGCTGGGGGAGGCTGGTGCTACAGTCTACGTCACAGGTACCTTTTTTAGCCATTATTTATTTATTTTTTAAATTTTTTCTGACATTTTTCTGTGCGCCGCCAGGGCGAACGTTGGACGAGGGCTCCAGCGCCCTGCCCGGCACCATCAGCGAGACTGCCGAGACTGTGCGTCCCGTCTCGCGCGGCGCAACACGCTGGCACACGCACGCACCGCACACACCGCTGGTTTTGGTGGCTGATCGACTGACTAGGGTGCTGGCCCGCGTGTGTTCAGGTGACGGAGTTGGGCGGCGAGGGCATCGCAGTGCAGTGCGACCACGGGAACGACGTCGACGTGCAGAAGCTGGTGCAGCGGGTCATCCGCGAGAAGGGGAGGATCGACGTCCTGGTCAACAACGCCTTTGCCGCCCCCGAAGACGGCACCAAGACCTCCCAGCCCTTCTGGGAGCAGAAGTGGGTTCGTTCGGCACATCATCGCACACGACACAGCACACGGCTAATGACACACGCCACACGCCACACGCCACACGCCACGCAGAACTACTGGGATGTGAGTCATAGGGTGGGTCTGCGCAGTCACTACGTGGCGTCGTGCCTGGTGGCCGAGCAGATGGTGAAGCAGAAGTCGGGCCTCATCGTCAACGTCTCCTCCGTGGGCGGGTCGCGATACCTCTTCAACGTACGTTCTATTGGCGCTTGGCTTCACGGGAGCGATGACCTTATCGGCCAAGGCATTACACGTCATCATCATCATCACCACCGTCGATGTGTCTTGGGGTGCTGCACTGTGCAGGTGGCGTATGGCGTGGGCAAGGCGGCCGGCGAGCGGATGGCGGCGGACATGGCGCGTGACCTCAAAAAGCACAACGTCACCGCGGTGAGTCTCAGGCCAGGTACGTACGCACGCGCATGAACCGCACAACCGCACGCACCGCACACACGCACACAACCGCACACACGCACACGCTGAGCGACGTCACACCAATGCTCACATGATGGGATCTGTCAGGGATGGTGAAGACAGAGCGGTTCCTCTCGAAGCGCGAGGTGCTGGCGAACAAGTACAAGGTCGACGTCACCCGCGGCGGCGAGTCCGCCATCTACTCCGGCCGAGCCGTCGCCGCGCTCGCTCAGGGTGCGCCTGCTCCTCGCGCCTCACCTATGCCAGATCTCTAACGACATACGACACACACGACACACACGACACACGACACACACGACACGTGCCGATATAGACAAAGGAATGATCAAGCAGACGGGGCGCATGTTGAACGTGGCGGACCTGGCGTGGGAGCACGGCTTCACCGACATCGACGGCCGCCAGCCCGCGCAGATGTACAGCCTGCGCTTCCTCCTCGAGAACGCCTTCTACTACGCCCTCTACCGCCTGCGCGGCCCGCGACGGTATTGAAGCCAACTCAACAATAAATAATAATAATGAAATATAAATAAAATTTGTACAAATTTATTTACACGCATTGTTTTTATTTTTATTTCCATTCCGGTGGTGGAAGTGGCAATTGCCGAGATGGCTCAAGCTTCGTGATGCCTTCGTTCTCAAGGGATCTTCGTTCGTGCCCTGATCTAAAACAAGAGATCCCTGAGCTCACTCTCGAGAAGAGCCGATTGGTGAACACTAGCTGCCACACCACCAATCACGCCTCGCCGTTCGAATTTTGACGGGCACGAACATGAAGTGAAAAGTCGGCAGAAAATGCTGCGCGATTTGGAGGGAAACTAAGCTCCTTCAACTCGAGCGACAAACCGCCCAAACACTCGGCCCCGGCTGGGGACGCTCACGTACCCAACAAAACTCCTTCTCTCGTCCGCCTCCATCAACAACCACAACGCAACCATCATCTTTTCTCTTTCTCCTCAACTTTTAACACACATTTTCATCAATCACCACACAACACAACACCGCACACGCGCTAGAAAACAACACGCAACACAAAGATGAGCGCGACCACCGTGACGAGTACGGCGGGAGGAGGAGAGAATAATGGAAATACCCGCGTTCGGGGGCGACGTCAAGCTGCCCGAGTCGATCGTGGACGCGCTGCCCACGGAATCGTTCATCAAGAGCGGCACAGCGTCCGACATCCAGATGCGCATCAGGCGCTCCCGCAGCATCGGCAACCTCAACGAATACAAATCTCAGCTCCAACGATTCGAGAAGTTCGTGTGGGCGCTGCCAGCCAAGATCAAGAGCCAACACCACATCATCACCGGCCTCCCTCGTCGCCTCTCCCAGCGCAACAAACGGTTCGCATGATCCCTTTTTTCATTTTTTTTACAATTTATTTATTCAACATAATTTTTATCTCTATAATTTTTATTTTATCGATAAATTAGGAAGTTAATGCATGTATATATATCGGGCAATTATTAGTGTCCTGTTCTATGCTACAAAATAATATTTAATATGCCATTTTCGTCGTCATAATAAATAATAATAAGATTAAGAATAATAATAGGTTCGCTGCGGAGAAGGTGTCGGAGAACAAGCTGGGCGACGTGGGGCCGCAGCTGCCGGTCGATCCGACCATCCTGGCCGTGTGCGTGTTCCCCTTCGTCCCGCTCTGCCTCTACGCCCTCTTCACCGTCGCCCTTTCCACCATCGTCGGCTACCTCTTCTTCCTCCTCCTCTACTTGCTCGTCCTCGTCGGTACACACACACACTACCCCCACCGCACGCGCGTGTGTGCGTGTGTGCGTGTGCGGTGTTCTCACTGTGTGCGGTCGTGTGTCGTGTGTGTCGTGCCATTGCGTGTGCGTGTGCGTGTGCGTGTGCGTTCTTTGTGTGCGAGGTGGCGATCCGACCGCCGTGGTACAAGCCCACGACGCCCGAGCAGGGTCTCACCAACGAGCAGCTCCCCTCCTACTGGCAGGGCATCTTCCACAACCCCAAGGTACGCGCGCATCGCGTCGCGCCGTGCGTGTCGTGCCATTGCTGACCGCACTCACCGCGCGTGCGCACACAACACACACGCAATGTAGTATAATCTGAACCTGGACTACGAGGACGTGGAGTTCACGAACCCGGCGGGCCTGGTGCTGCGCGGCTGGTTCGTGCCGGCCGCGCCCAACGCGGCGCGCGCCACCCGCGGGCTGGGCATGGTCTGCGTGCACGGCGGCGGCCGCGACCGACGCGCGTGGCTCCGGCACGTGCCCATGTTCCACAACCGCGGCTACGACGTGCTTCTCTTCGACTTTTCCGAACACGGCGTCAGGTACCACACTGCACGTCGTGCCGCGCGTGTGTGTCGTGCGTGTGTGTGTCATGTGTCGTGTGTGTCGTGTGTGTCGTTGTGTCGTGTGTGTCGTGTGTGTCGTGTGTGTGGTTTCTCACAAATGATGTCGTGTGTCGCAGCGATGGCACGAAGCGTGGGTTCAGTTTTGGCATTCGCGAGAAGGATGACGTCATGGCCGCCGTCCGGTTCATGAAGGAGCAGAAGGGCCTCCCTCGCGTACGCCCACCTCCCCCCCCCGGGGTCTTCGTCGGTCTTCAGTCTTCGCTGGTCTTCGTCGGTCGTCGATCGTCGATCGCTGAAGAGTGGTGGTTGTTTGTTTGTTTTGTTTGTGTCGACAGGTGGTGGTGCTGGGCACGTCGGTGGGCGGTTCGTCGGCGATCATGGCCGCGGCCGAGGACCCCACCATCGACGGCGTCATCGCCGAAAACCCCGTCGCTTGCGTCGGTGCGTCTCTCCCACATACACACACACACGCACACGCACACGCACGACACACACGTGTCGTTCCACTCTCTCTCACACACCGCGCGTGTCGTGTCGTGTCGTGTTGCGTGTCGTGTCATGTCATTAGAGGAGTTTGCGCTGTTCCATTTGAAGCGAATGATCGCCGCCTACGCGCCCAAGGCGGCGGAGAGCATTTGGATGAAGCCGCTCTACACGCTCGTGTCGCGCATCCTGCTTCTGCGGATCGGCGCCCCGTTCGGCTACACGCGGCCCTACCAGCTCATCGCCGGCATCTCCCCGCGGCCGGTGATGCTCATGCACGGCACGGCCGACGACCTGGTGCCCATCGACCACTCCACCCGCCTCCACTCCTGCGCCAACGAACCCAAGTACCTCTGGCTCGCCAAGGTTCGCCGACACGACACGACACGACATGACACACAATGACACATGCACACGACACGACACGACACTCACGGTGAGTGTCAGCGTGTGCGTGTGCGTGTGCGTAGGACGCGTGGCATTGCGCGTTGTACGATCAGCACCCGGAGGAGTACGGCCGACGGATCGCCGAGTTTGTGGACAGGCACTTCAAGGAGGACGAAGAGGAGGGTAAAGAAGAAGAAGAGGCCAACAAGGAGAAGAAGGGGTCCCTTCTGCTGGGCGAGGAGGACCAGGCCAAGAACGAGGAGGCGGCCGCCAAGATCCAGGCGGCGAGCGAGGCGCTCACCCAGGACGAGGGCACCGCCACAGTCACGACCGAGAAGGAGGCCCAGGCCCTGCAGGAGGTTGCCGGCGAGGCCGTCGAACAGTGAGCGAACAAACCATCACACACCACACGTCAGGGTTACAATTTTTGTGATTGTGTGTATGTGTGTGTAGGAACAGAGACAAAGAGATGTAGCTCATTGCTGGACCCCAATGTTGTGGTGGCGATGCTGGTTGATTGGTGTGAGGGGAAAAATGTTTGGTGTTTATTTCTACAGGCGGTGATCGCAAAAAATCGAAAACGAGGGTGCAAAAAAGTGGAACGAACGCCCACCACGCGCACGAACAACACAAGCGCCACCACGCGCGTCAAGGCCGCCACCTCGCCTATTTCCGGTAGACGAGGCGGTCGATGACGTCGCGTTGTGTCGCGCGTGTGTGTGTGTCGTGTGTCGTGTGTCGTGTTGAGTAGTGTGCAGGTGTGCGGCCGATGAATATGAGAGAGACAGAGAGAGAAGGAGTGCGTTGTGCGTGTGCGATCACACACGGTCCCAGGACATGTTATGCGCTCGGAAGAGCTCGTCCCGGTTGTTACTCGCCGACCCCAGCGCACCCGCGCCCGCTGGCGCCTCGTCGCCGGCGTAGAGCTCGTTGACGTGTGTCTGCGTGCGCGACTCGTAGATCGGTGACACCGTGAGGGCGTTCACGGCGCCCACGTCCGTAGCGATGGCCGGTATCGTGGGCGTGCTGTTCTGCCGCATCTTCCAGATCGCTAGCGCCGCGGCGGCCGCGCAGGCGGCGAGGGCCAGCAGCGCGAGCGGGATCGCCACGCCGGCGGCGATCACACCGATGTCGGTGCCGCCGCCGCCGCCTGCCGTGCCGTTGACCTTGACGGGGCTCTTGCTGATCGACGGCGTGGTGGTGGGCGTGCGCGAGTTGGAGGGCGTGCTCGACGGGGTGCGCGAAGTGGTCGGCGACCTGGAGGGCGTGGTCGACGGCGTGGCCGAGTTGGGCGGCGTGGTCGACGGCGTGACTGAGTTGGGCGGCGAGCTCGACGGCGTGCGCGAAGTGGTCGGCGTGGTCGACGGCGTGCGCGAAGTGGTCGGCGTGCCCGATGGGCTGGTGGACCGGGTCGGGGTGGTGGTTGGAGTGGTGGTCGGGGTGCGCGACGAGGTCGGCGTGGTCGACGGCGTTGCGGAGTTGGGAGGCGAGCTTGACGGCGTGCGCGAAGTGGTCGGCGTGGTCGACGGCGTGCGCGAAGTGGTCGGCGACCCCGACGGGCTGGTGGACTGGGTTGGGGTGGTGGCTCGGCGTGGTGGTCGGCGTGCGCGACGAGGTCGGCGTGGCGGACCGCGTCGGGGTGGTGGTCGGGGTGGCGGTCGGCGTGCGCGACGAGGTCGGCGTGGCAGACTGGGTCGGGGTGGTGGTAGGCGTGGCGGTCGGCGTGGTGGTCGGCGTGCGCGAGGGGCTCGGCGTGGTAGACGGCGTGCGCGACAGCGAGGGTGTGGGCGAGTTGGAGTTGGACGGCGTGAGGCCCGGCGTGAGCGAGGGCGAGTTGGACGGGCTCGTAGTGGGCGACTGGGTGGGCGACCGCGTCGGGGTGCGGGTCGACGTGGGCGTCGGCGTGTTCGAGCGGCTGGTCGAGGGCGTGGCCGTGGGCGTGCGCGACGAGCTGGGGGGTATGGGTCGGGGTCACGCTCGAGGTCGGGGAGCTGGTGGGTGACCTGGTGGGCGACCGGGTGGGTGAGCTGGTCGGGGACTGGGTCGGCGAGTTGGTTGGCGACTGGGTCGGGGTCACGCTCGGCGTGGGCGACCGCGTGGGCGACTGAGTCGGCGACTGCGTGGGCGATGACGTGGGCGAGTTGGTCGGCGAGTTGGTCGGCGACTGGGTAGGGGTCACGCTCGGCGTGGGCGAGTTGGTGGGCGATTGGGTCGGCGACTGAGTGGGCGACTGGGTAGGCGAGTTGGTCGGCGAGTTGGTGGGGGACTGAGTCGGTGTCACGCTCGGCGTAGGCGAGTTGGTGGGCGACTGTGTGGGCGACTGAGTGGGCGAGTTGGTGGGCGACTGTGTAGGCGACTGCGTGGGCGAGTTGGTGGGCGTCACAGTCGGAGTCACGCTGGGTGTCGGCGTCCGCGTGGGCGACTGGGTCGGGGACTGGGTCGGTGTCACCGTCGGCGTCACGCTCGGCGTCGGCGACCGGGTCGGTGACGGAGTGGGCGAGTTGGTGGGCGACTGCGTGGGCGACTGGGTCGGTGATTGCGTGGGCGACTGGCTCGGGGTCACAGTCGGGGTCACGCTCGGCGTCACGGTCGGGGTCACGCTCGGCGTCGGCGACCGGGTGGGTGACTGCGTCGGGGAGTTGGTTGGCGACTGTGTGGGCGAGTTGGTCGGCGACTGCGTGGGCGTAACACTCGGCGTCACTGTCGGCGTCACGCTCGGCGTGGGTGACTGGGTCGGCGACTGCGTGGGCGAGTTGGTGGGTGACCTGGTGGGCGTCACAGTGGGCGTCACACTCGACGTGGGCGACTGGGTGGGCGACTGGGTGGGCGAGGTGGTGGGCGACTGGGTGGGCGACTGGGTCGGCGAGTTGGTCGGGGACTGCGTGGGTGTCACAGTGGGCGTCACCGTGGGGGTCACGCTCGGCGTCGGACTGCTCGTGGGCGACTGGGTAGGCGAGTTAGTGGGCGACTGGGTCGGTGACTGCGTGGGTGTCACAGTGGGCGTCACACTCGGCGTGGGCGATT